AACCAATTTGGTCGATTTCTCGAACGTTTGATAGAGAAAATCTTGAACCAATTAAGTAAATGCGCTAGTAGTGGTAGAGAAAATTACTTACTCAACGATCAGTTTGTAAAGCCGATTAAAAATACCATTCGGAATGCGTCTCGCTTGAAACTACACGCAGTCCGCTATGCGCTCATCAGGGATATATGCCTTATGCAAATGTCCCATTTTGAACTCCTCAGAAGTTGGGATCATCAATGAAACAGTTCAGGGAAACCGTTCAATGAAACGATAGAATGAGTTAAGAAAGGTAAAGCGTGAAAAGTGAATCAGTTTGGTGACAGTAATATGACACGTCACATAAGCAAGTGATAAATTTCAAACTGCAATCAATACACATGATTAAGCAGATGCAATGATAATGCTAACCAGAGCACTATAAGAGATCGCCAGTGCACTCTCGCTCACACGTGTTTATGTGAATAAATTGATCTGATCTAGAATCACACTTGCTTGACATAACAAATACGTTATTCAAAATTTTCGAATTGTATTCGTCTAGACACTTAACTGAATATTGCACTGTTGCTGTATTCTCACCTCAAATCACAACTGCCGATAGATTTCTGAGCCACACTACTCACCACCGTCGCATATTCTGCTCTGGACTCCATATGTTGTTGTAGTAACAAGTTATTACTAAAATTAATACCTTATAATGTTGATATTGAAGTATTTACTGCTATCGGTGTTATTGAATTCCGTTCCTGTCGTACTATCCCAAGACGAAGGGCAACTTCCAGAACATCCTCAAGAACAAGCTAATGAGCAGCAGATACATCAGGAGCAGGCTGAACAGCAGCCACAAGAGCAAACTATTCAGCAACCTGAAGTGTTTCAAGAAGAGCCTGTACTGATTCGAGGTATGTCTTTGGCTCATGCATTTCTTAGACGAGTGGTTCTCATAGGGAAGAAATTACCCATTTTGGGTAATTTGGAGGTGTCATGGGGTAATGGAGGGGTCGGGAAAATAGTATTTAGTGCAGTTGTCAGGTTATTATAGAACGCCATTGTGATGGTGTTTTTCATCAGGGACATGTAAATGCGGTTAGTTGATGGCAACATTGAAATCACATCCATTTGTCTTCAAATGCCGTTTTAACAGGGTTTTTATTCTTTTCCTTGCCGCTACAATCGCTCTCATAGCTTTTATCACCAAAAGTGTTCTCTTCTGCTAATTTCTCACTCATTTCATTCAACAATTAAAGTCAATTCTCATTCTGTCAAACACACTCTATAATTGTTCATTTGAACGTTGCTGAGCAAATCAATTCAATCGCTGATTGTTGATTTCGGTTGGCAACAATCGTCAACGTATCCAATAAATTGTATATGCTGCTACAGAATGAGAAGTTCATTTGAACGGAAGTTAAATGAGATGAAGTGAATGAGCAAAACTTATCAATAGAACGGTTTTCGCATGTGATAGCTATGAGACTGAATACAACACGTCCGAAAAGAATGAGAATCCATCTAAATAAGCTTGAAGTGAGTGTGTCATAGACAATAGCTTTTCATGCAATCATAATCGATTGCAATAATGAGCAGCTCAACGGTCTGAGATAAGACCTAGCGATGTCGAATACCATCATGGACGAGCTAGTAAGATTGAACGTAACGGTCATCTGAACATAGCATGTGCGATTTCCATATTTAATAGGGGGAGGGGGTGGGTGGGGTAACGGCGACCTGCCAGATCATCAAAAGAGATAATGGAGCAGCCGAACGTGAGAACCACTGTCTTAGACTGTTGTCGAATTCTCGATTTATTTTTGATCACTCCTCAGATCCACCGATTTGTGTGACTGCGTTTCGATCGACACCCATCAATGCGTATCAGCATTTGCGCTATGGTTGAATATCACCTGAACACTGCCTCTCTGAAATGCTTCCGAATTTGAATGCAATCTTGCAAAATACTCTGTTAATTAATAAGAGTCTGACTTTAACGTGCAAGTATTTCTAACTGAACCTTCAGAATACAAGAGAAAAATTCGCCTTCCTCAATGGAAGCAAAAATAGCCAATGGCATAAATAACGGATAATCACATTTCGTAATTAACAAGTGATATTTTATTCAGATCCAATGAGAATTGATGTAATGTTTGACTCTCTGAATGTTCAGTGGCTGTAAAGTGAGTGATTCGGAGTTGACGATCTCACATGAGAAAAACTTAAGAATTCATTTGAATTGCATTACACCGATATCAACAAACATGAAACTGTAATGCTGACTGAGTTTAGTTTCCTTATCAAATTAGAACAAGTAAAATTCTTGTTGCCAAATGTTCTGAAAACAAACTGCACAGGTGAACTGGTTAGTTGCCAATAGAATTCATTACATTTGAAGGTAAAAAAGAGAAACACTTTCAGCCGATGAGCCGATACCACATTTTGGTGACGAAGAACAAATACACGATATCGAGTGAGCTATTTCAATGAATTTCATTTACTCGCTTAATTGTTTCTTTGTTTTTGGTGGGATGAATTTCCGTTTAATTGAGTCGAAATGTAGAACTTGTTGTGTTTGATTCGGAATTAAGTTATGAATTCGTTCATGATTTGTGAAACCGAAAAATGAACAGCTATCAACGTAAATCAACGATCACGCTGGAATATTTGCTTTAACAAAAATTTTTTGAGTTCTAATAATGGAACTGTGAAAATTTCAGACATTTAAGACAGCATTTAGAAGGCATAATCGACATCGAAGCGGAATGGGACGCTGACCAAGAAACGTTCCAGTATTTTCGTATCAGCGATGTCAACGAAGATCAGTACATTGACGGACTTGAGGTTATCAAAGCCGCCATCCACGATCACCACCGTAAGCTTAATTGCTTGTTAGCTTTAGAAGCCAATCATGTTATATCAAGTTGCATTCTCTTCATATGTACATCTTTATGATGTGTAGCGAATGTTGACTGAACTTATCATCAAATACAAAACGATCTGTTGCTGCATATATTATCAACTATTGCTCACATTACTTTGAATGTCAACAACTCAAGATTAATGCTGAAGATTACGTTACAAACAGTTTACTGTCATTATTACTTCTAAACATTCTTTTTCGGGGATCGGCGATTATGATATACTTCAGCACCTGAGGGATTAGCTACGAAACCGGTGTTCACTGACGAGGCTCTAGAGAAGCTTGTGGATGGAGTGCTAGCAGCGCTCGATACGAATGGTGACGGTTTGATCGACTTCGCTGAATTTTCGTTCAAAAAGTATCAAGAACATCTGTCAAATGCTCGAGCCAATGCTTAACTCCACAAATAAATCTCATCAGAAAATTATAGTGTGCAGCTGAGATTACGAATGATTGATGTTGTTTCTCCAAGTCAAAGTCGTATCGAATCGTTTTCGCGAGAATTTTGTGAATGTTGAAAAAGTCTAAATGAATAATGTGAAGAAAGTCCAAATATGTGAAAGATTTCATTGATCGTTTAGTATTTTCCAATTTTCATCACTCAAAAATTCGAATCTTTTGCAAATCTGATCGCATTTCGGCATATTCAAACACCGACAATATGACCTACAATTTCCTTTCTAACTACCTCTCGTTACTGCCAGATTTTTCTAACTTATCGCATAGGATCGGCTGAAATACTCACTCTAACTTTCCTTAAGCATTTGACCCTGTGAAATGTTCCTACCTTCTCTAATGTCCATTTTGATGGATTCCATTTCTGAAGACAACTTGAGTGACTTCCATCCTCTTAAATGACCTCGCATCTGAACTGAGGTTTCATGATCATATGAGAAGATACGTATCATTGCTAATAATACGATGTATTCATATGTGATTTTTGTTATTGTGTTATTTTTGTTATTACCATTACTAGCATATGTTATTTTTGCTACTACCAATGTTTTTGTTATTATATTGATCGTGAATTGAACAAATGGAATTATTAAATCAGTATGAATCATTCAATCGAAAACATTCCAGAAGAACAATTAAGCATATCGTACATTCATTAAGCAATAACACGGTATTGAACATGTAAGCTAAATTGACTGCTCAATGTTCTTAGAATCTTCGTTTACAAATCACGCTGTCGTATTCTCATCATAGGATCAGTTCATCTTGCAGTGCAGTCTGAATCAGAGAGCAGATGGAGTGGAAAAGTCAAGGGCCTCAACGTTATAAAATATATTCGACATCGACAAACTGGTGAAGTGCTTTGAACTAGAACTAACTGTAAGGTCAAGTTGAACAATAACATATGAAATGAAAACACAACAAACTGTTATCGATAAGCACAAAAACAATAATACATCATAAAAGTTACATTTGAGTGTGTATATTATGACCGCATTTTCAATCATTGATAACAG